TTTAATTACATTGTGTAAACACACAATGTAAAACAGACATGCATAATAGTACATTCCTTTACTAAATTGTAACCTACGGATTATACACCCATTTTACTTGCTAAGATAGTGAGTATGCAGCTGATTGAAGGGCTGTAGGCATCCTGGCTTCACACATCGAGTGTAAAAGTGATTAAAAGGTAAGTAATCTGTACAAGGCTGTGTGGATTGGATCATGACCCAGTGTAAACACAGCGACGGTGTAACTGAGCAGTAGAGTAACATGTTTCCATGAGCTCAGGGTTGACTGTGTTATCTGCTCCAGATCAGATTTCCAGGCAACCGAATCCAGATAGTAGTTGATCTAATAATTTACAATTTAGCTTCCTTTCTCTGCTACCCGATTCCTGCCTCTGCACAAACAGTGCACTATTGTCGTTAACTGGTGCAGCACCAAGCGGTAGTTTGATCATTAACATTCTTCATTTGGCATCAGTATATAATAAGGATGAACAACAGACACCCATTCCTGATCTCCTATTTTATTGTTGCTGAATACTTTGACATAAACCACTGGGGAAAGGCAGTTATTGGGTGTTGCTAAGAGCGTGTTGATTTCTAACCAAAGATGACTGGCTGTAAAAGCTCAAGGCCAGCGATCTTCCCACCACACGTGTCGGGACACCAGCTCATGTACGGGGAGAACGAGTGAGTGTAAAAACGCTTCTCGCTTTCTGGTGAAGAGCAAAGCAGCGAGAGACCGGCGTCAGATGTACATGTCCACACGTTAATCAGTCTCTAGTGGTTTTTAAAATACAACGGAGACACCACTCTTGTCCCTCACGTTACAGACATTACTGTACAAGAAGCAGGCTGGGTCCTTAAGTTTGAGTTCACGGAAGACATGTATTGAAGGAAAACACCAGCTCCCACTTAAGACTGGCCCATTGATCCATTGTGCTATTGAGTGCTGAGAAATCAACACAGAAATGACTCGCGTGTGCCTGATGGATTCGCAAACGCAGCGCTCAGAGGTAACACTTCAACATTTGCTGTGTTGAGTGAAGACTTTTAAGACACGAAAGGTTGTGGGAGATTTTTTTCCGACTTCTTGATTCATGAAACTGAAAAATGAAATATCATTTGTGCATTTGTGTGTCTGGTAAACTTATTTGATTATTACAAATTTTTGTGATTTAGCTTTTTGAGCTGAAACATCTTCCCATCTTCCCGCTACAAAGATGCTTGTTGCTTGTCTAATTAAGATATGTTGATCATCAGGACATGTACTTTTTCTTCAGAGGAAAATGATTAAATATATTCTCTAAAATCCTCCAAGAGTAAAGGTCGCCCAGGAAAGGTCAATATATTATTAACATTTTACACCATAAGTTAACTAGTAACCTTACCTGACCCCCAGTGCCGGCAATTCTACACATAAAGGTCATTCTCTGAGTGCATTTTGACATTTCACATGTATCACGTTGAGTTCCGAGCAAAAGCCACCACATATCTTAGCCGATCCACAATGCTGCATTCGCCCCCTGATCTCTCCCACCCCTGCGTTTTGTCCCTGCATCCGTCCCTCAAGCTCGCTAAGAGGCCGCAGCGCTGTCGGCTCAGATCCGTCTTTGTTCAGGAGGCCGCTTGTTCATTAAGTCTAACACGGCTCAACGGGGGGGGGCTTCCACAACGCACTCTCGTACGCCGTCATAAATCCACATTAGAGAAGCGGAGGCATCTCATGCGGAGGGGAGGTTGCAGAGGTGGCGGTTGAGGGGGTGGATGACAAGTAGCCGGGCTGTCCACGCCGGCGTGGCGCTAAGGATCAGCAGCAATGGTGGAACATCAGAGGGATTGAGGGGCTTTCTGCTGCTTTGGTTCAAGGATCTTGATTTCAGTCTACTAAGCGTGTCCCATACAACTCCTGTTTACACAGCCTGATTTTTCTTTTCTTTTCCAAGGGAAAGGTCAGCGGCTGGGGCAACGTGCCAGGTGTTTGTGGAGCAGCAGACCAGTGCGGTGCGGTGAATGTAATTATGGCACTCTGGCAATCTGATAACCTGCCAGTCTGTCTCTCAACACTAGGAAAGTGCACGGGCATATTAAATGTGGCTCAACACACACGGTTGTGAACAGGGAACAGTGACTGCGTGTGCAGGGGCAGCGGCTGGGACAGGGCTCCACTGATAATCGGGTTTCTGAAGGCCAGTGTGTTCTTCAGCTAGCAGGTGGGGTTTAAATTTGATTATTTCGTCTGAATAGAGTTTCCAAACACTCTTGTTTAGTGGAGACTTTTGTCCTGAAGACAGCTCTTCTCTGCGCCCATTGTCTGGAGGGAGGCAGGGAACAATGGTGTCCCATGTACAGTTAAAAACACAGATTGCATGAATAGATTGTCAGAACATAATTGACAGGAGGCCTGCTCTGCAAAATGGACAGTTATTTGTATATGGCTGGGGCGAAAATGAGGCTCCAGAAATGTCAGTTACCAAAATCCCTTTTAGTCAAGCACAACAGGGGGGCCACTGAGTGAGCTGGGAAAAGGGTGTGCAGAGAGCACTCTCATCCACACTCATCCGTTTCATTATTCTTCCCCTCCGACCGTTCACTCACTCTCTCCCTCCCTTTCACTGTAATTACACCTGCTCTGCCAAGCGTAGCTCGAGGCGTGGCTGGGCAAAAATCACTCCTTAATATGAGTCTGCAGAGTGTGTGAGGAGGGGCCCTGCTCACTGACAAGTCTCTGTGGAAACATTAGGGTTCTAAGCAGCCTGCACCTGTACGTCCCTCCTGGGACAAAGAAGGAACAGAGCCTCACTTTGGGGAATTGAGAGTGTGTGTATGTGTGTGTGTGTTAAGTGTGATCATCCATTTCCAAATTGAACCTGCAACAATTACAAATCTATAGTGAGGGAACAAGTGCTTGTAACCAACAGCCTTTGGGGCTGAAATCAACCCGGAAAGACACAATCGCACAAGGACGCGAAATAGAGAGTAATAACCCTATTTAAAAAATCATTTAAAAAAGCTTGCGGCATAATACACATTCTAGTCTATTTATCGGGATTGCTGCCTTTGAACAAACGTCTCCTAGAAGAAGAGATTTTCCGGGCGGTGAAGTGTGAAGCTGAAGGTGTGACGACACGTCTTCAGCCCTCAGAAACAGCGGAGCGTCTGTGGCGCTGCGAGCACACAAGACCAGACAGACAGTGTTACAGACCTCTTCCCTCCCCCTCCCCCCTCTTCGCGCGCCACCGGAGACAATCACAATTATTTGCAGCTGCCGATGATGACAAAAATTGAATGGAGAAAACTGCGAGAGGAAATCTGTGCGAGAGCAACGCTGTCAACAAGGCGCTACACGTTGACGCAGGCTACCGGGAGGCCAGTTGTTACAGATGTGTGTGGTTTAGCGCGAGAGGGAAATCATTATCGATCCAGGTTTTCTTCAGGAAGGTCATTCCTGAGTGCAGACGCAACCAAACATCTTCATTAATTTAGACTATAGGCAGCAAGCATGCATAGTATACCCTTCAAAGAAAAAACAAAAGCGCACATTAATTATTCATCCATACTATACTTGACGGCATGAAAAATTGCAATTGACAGTTGGGTATAAACTCTAATGAGAAACACTTTGTCCAAGGATGCCAGTTCCCCTAAAACAGGGTTACACGAAACGTTGCTGGAGTTCATCTCCATAATACCCCGTGTGTGTGTGTGTGTGTGTATATGTGTGTGTGTCGCCACAAGAACCTCGGGTTCAGTTTGCCTTAATTTGCATGTGCCACGAAATGCCATGTACCATTTTTTTCTTGCAGCTGGAGTACGTTGAAATGCTTTCATTACGTGCTGGAGTCTACCGAGAGAGGATGTGAAACCTGCCCACGGGCTGCAGGTCACAGACGTTATTTTGGGGGAATTGGCTTCAGAGCCAAGTTTTTTTTTTATCAGATTCACAGCAGGCAGCAAATTGGATGGGAGATTAAAAAAGCAAAAAAGGAAAAGTTGGCTGCTCTCATCACCTATGGACCTACAGACAGCTCATTTAAATTCAGACAGTATGTCCCCTACTCAACTTGACTTTATTTCCTGCTGCGGGAGCTCAGCGCTTAAACTGTTGCCGTGGACATATCACAGTACAAAAGACATTCCCACACATTGTTGAACTGGAGTAAGATGTTGTGTTTTGTCATATATGCTTCACGCCAGCTGTGGCGCCGTCTCAGGAGGGAGCGTCTCTCTCCGAGTCAAAGCCCGGGATCACGCTCCTCCTGAAGATTAAAAGGGCTTTAGTCGAGACAGATACCAGCAATCCAGAGGCATTTTATTTAGCCCAATATCTCCACAGAAAAAAAAGAGCAATTACATCCACCTACTAAATTCAACAACTATGCAATGTGCACTATAATCATTCAAAATGGGCATACTGTATATCACAAATTCACATATTAAAAAGAAACTCATAAACAAGCAGTGGAGCATTTGTCTCTTTTCGCATCAGAGGCATAGTGAGAAGGATGCAATGTTTTCTTTCACTTAAAAGTCAATGTGCTCCATATGTTTATCCTTTAGGAAAAGTAAAAATAGGACGTATCACTCTTTGCAAAAACAACCTTCGCCGTGATTCTTTGTCCATGCAATGTTACACGGAGGAAACTCAGATGACATCACAGCTGCCTGTATTTGTATTGGACATGCCGCAGGTTGAATGGAGGCTCTGAGAGGGGGTTAAGTAGGAGCCATGAGGGATGCAAAGTCTGGATAGCATCATGGGGGGGAGGAGGAAGACTTTCATGCAAATTTTAACAGTATAAGTCATTTCATATATATATATATATATATGTATATATATATATATATATATAT